AGCTCTTTAGTCTCCCGAGACTGAAGGATGCCTACTATTATCTACCACGTTTCTTTCCACTCTGGAACATCTTTAGGTAAGGAATGAATATACAAGGTGTAAATGTATCGTAAATACACAAATATATTCTCTTCTGTACACACACACACACAAACAACCTGCACCCACCCACACACACCCCACACACACACACACACACAACCTGCACCCACCCACACACACCCCACACACACACACACACACATCCGCACACACACACACATCCGCACACACACACACATCCGCACACACACACACACACACACACACACGCGCACACACACACACACACACACACACACACACACATCCGCACACACACACACACACACACACACACACACACACACACACACACACACACACACACACACACACACACACACACACACACACACACACACACACACACACACACGAAACCTCCAGGGGGGCCGGTGGCTAAGCGGACATAACGCTGCACGCGTGATTCTGAGGTCCCGGGTTCGATTCTGGACGCCGGCGCGAAACAATGGGCAGAGTTTCTTTCATCCTAATGCCCCTTTTAACTAGCAGTAAATAGGTACCTGGGAGTTAATCAGCTGTCACGGGCTGCTTCCTGCTGTGTGTGTGTGTGTGGTGTGGGGAAAAAAATAGTACTAGTTGTAGTAGAAACAGTTGACAGTTGAAAGGCGGGCCGAAAGAGCAGAGCTCAACCCCCCCAAGCACAACTAGCTGAATACAACTAGGTGAATACACACACACACCCATAATCACACACACTGTTACAGGGGAAATGGGGGAAAGAGGAACTATAACATGCTGAGAGTGATGCAGACCCACACAGTCAGGGTCTGACTGTGTGGGTCTAACAGGGCCCTCTAACAGGGCCTCAACTTTCCTTGTTACGAGGCTCAAGACTGAAAAAGTATTCCTCCCCCCCCCCTCATCCCATGCCAAATCCTTATCCTGACCCCTTCCAAGTGCAATATTGTCATAATGGCTTGGCGCTTTCTCCGCATAACGCTTAACTCTCCCCCCCCCCCCCTCCTTATGCCCACAAGTTAAACACAGGAAGCTCACCAACTCCCGTCAGGAATGACTAGGCCAACATTGTGTCCTTAGAGCGGTGGGTATCAAGGGTAAGGGGCGACCCCGGACACCTGGTCATCCTATTACTTCATCATTGAGGTAATCACCTATACACGCCCAGTGCCGAAGAAGACTTCTATTATGCGCTTCGTGCTCCGTAGTCGGGCTCTCTAAAGTAGGAGGCTACGCTCCTCTCTCTCACTCCAAATCCGTTTCTTACTCAGTGGTCAATAGATCGTTTATCAAGCGTTATACAGGTGAGGGGCGGCATAAGGTCGATATAGAGGCACACGGAAACAGTGTTTCAAATTAATATAACCATTTACTGAGGGGTTTGAGCTAAGGGGTATGAGCTATGAGGAAAGACTACGAGAACTATACATTACGTAAATGAACAAATCTACAAGGGCCGTGATGAGGGCTCGAACCTACGTCCGGAATAATCCACACACCCTTTTGGATTTGTTCATTTGATGCGTCACTTTTTTGTGATTTCTCTGTGTTTACCTTACGTCATTGGATGCTAGAAGAGTTTAAGGAGGATATGATCACCACATACAAGATTCTCAAAGGAATTGATAGGGTAGGCAAAAACAGTTTATTTAACACAAGGGACTCACGCACTAGGGGACACAGGTGGAAATTGAGTATCCAAATGAGCCACAGAGATATTAGAAAGAATTTTTTCAGTGTCAGTAAATAAATGCAATGCATTAGGAAGTGATGAGGTGGAGGCAGACTCCATACACAGTTTCAAATATAGATATAATTGAGCCCAATATGCTCAGGACCTATACACCTATTGATTGACAGTTGAGAGGCCGGACCAAAGAGCCGAAGCTCAACCCCTGCAAGCACAAATAAGTGAGTACACACTCAATATAGAGCAGCAGCACAGAGATAGTTCCGGCATCAAATATTATATAACCCGGACCACTCCAAGTTTATATTCCAAGTGAAGAAGTGTTAGTGATGAAGAGGCAGTGTGGAGCCGCCTCCGTCAGCCTGGGACTGATCGCTGTGGTCCACATGTATCCTGCTATGGGAGTTTTATATTATATCTGGGACTGTGACCGCTCGTGTGGCACCCTCTCTCTATCTGTATGTATGTGTATGTATATACCTCTATATGTATATATATATGTATGTGTATATACGTAAATAATGGAATGGAATAAGTTCATGGTTTAAGTATGCTGATGATATAATGTTTATTTGACCTTCAAATGCAAATTCAGACGAATTTCTAGCAAAACGTATGAAGTCACCCGGAATAAAATTTACTATGGAGACTAAAATTGGTAAATGTTTGCCCATTTTGGATATCGTAATTCATAGCGAATATTTTTCTTTTAAGTTTAGTGTTTACAAAAACACTGAAAAAATTGTCTTATGTTCAGTATATCTCAGGGCGTAGATATAACGTTAAACAATCTATTTCTTCTTCAATATATCTAAGATCGCCTTCAATTGTTAGCCCAGAGCTCATAGATGACGAGTTAGAAAATAATGATTCTATTGGATTCAAACTTTGCTACCAAGAAAATATTATGGACGTATGCTTTTGCAAATCTCAACTAACATATGTAACAAATTAGGTGATGAGAAAATTCGTCCAAAAATTGTGTTATTTTACCATATTTTTCTGGGTTGGAGAATATTGTCAAGCCTTTGAAACTTATTGATCTACATGTGTTATTTAATTATAAAAATGCAATTGTAAAACTATTCGTTACAATCAGCCCTCATAGTGATAGCTGTTTCATTTACAAAACATTAGAAATAAAAGAATAAATTTATTTACGAATAAATAAATACAAAATATGAAAGATAAGAAAATATGAAAGATAAGAAAATATGAAAGATAAGAAAATATGAAAGATAAGAAAATATGAAAGATAATACAAATTCAGAGTTCGGTGAAAATGGCATGTTAAGACATTTTATGAGGGCGAGTTTAGCTCAGTGTCACATGACACTCTTTTTGTTTGCAGCCAATCCTGTTACACCTATGTTGGGCATGTACCCAGCAGCACTCACTGGGAAAAAATGAGTGAAGCGGGTCCCAAGTGTCTCGCCTTCAACCTTGAACAAACATTTTAGTTAACATATATGCTTGGTCGGGTGCCTGGTGGGGCCCTGATAGAGGTGGTGCCTGGTGGGGCCCTGATAGAGCTGGTGCCTGGTGGTGCCCTGATAGAGCTGGTGCCTGGTGGTGCCCTGGTAGAGCTGGTGCCTGGTGGGGCCCTGATAGAGGTGGTGCCTGGTGGTGCCCTGGTAGAGGTGGTGCCTGGTGGTGCCCTGATAGAGGTGGTGCCTGGTGGGGCCCTGGTAGAGCTGGTGCCTGGTGGTGCCCTGATAGAGGTGGTGCCTGGTGTTGCCCTGGTAGAGCTGGTGCCTGGTGGTGCCCTGGTAGAGCTGGTGCCTGGTGGGGCCCTGATAGAGGTGGTGCCTGGTGGGGCCCTGGTAGAGCTGGTGCCTGGTGTTGCCCTGATAGAGGTGGTGCCTGGTGTTGCCCTGATAGAGCTGGTGCCTGGTGGGGCCCTGATAGAGCTGGTGCCTGGTGGGGCCCTGATAGAGCTGGTGCCTGGTGGGGCCCTGGTAGAGCTGGTGCCCAGGTCTCCCACACAGATCCTCCTATCTTCCCTTACACATCCTTCTTTACACACACACAGCCCCCTTCTCCCCCTCCATCACTATAACCATCTACAGTACACACAGTCTTCATCACTGTAAACAACTTCACACCATCTACTTCCACCCCACACACCCTCCCCATATCCCCACTTCCACGCCGACACATCCTAAGAGGAGGGTGTGTAAATTAAGACAGAGGAGGACTGCTTGAGGCTTCCAGATGTTCTCCCACATGCACTCTCTCCTGCCAGTACATATGATCTTTCTCCATCTCCTCCCTCCCTGCCCTCACACGCCCTTCCCATCTCCTCCCTGCTTGACCACACTTGACCTGCCCCTGTCCCCGACTCCCTTATGACGCTCCAGATCAAATCACCACTCATCCTGCTGACCTTAATGCGGCTAGCCCTAGGCATTTGGCCTCCAGCCTCGAACAGACCGACAAAAATATTGTTTCTGATTCATATTGATATGACTGCAAATGTTTTCTCCCATTCTGTATTTCTCTTCCTTTCTTTTTCTATATCTTTTGTTTCCTTCTCTCTCTCCCTCCCTGTTTCTTTCTTTCGTGCTCGCTCTCTTTCTCTCTGTCTTGCATCTTGATAATAATTCATTGTGTTTGGGGACAGGCAGCCAGTATATATACATACGTTAAGCTTATATTGAGGTCCCCCCACCACCACCACCAAGGCCGAATTACTGACACCCCCCCCCACCCCCCCACCCCCCCAGAATGCATCCCCACAACAAGCTGACTATCTCCTGTGTACCTACTTACTGTTAGGTGAACAGGAACATTAGGTGATAGGTAATGCGCCCAACATGTCTGTCCAGCCGGGGATTTGAACCCGGAATTCTCGATTGTGAGTCAAGCACGAATCCTACTTTACTATCGGGACCCCCTCCTTTCCCTTTCTTTTTCTCTCACACCTCCGCTTCTACCTTTCTCTCTTTTTCTTCCCGTTATCTTTCCTGAGTTCCATGCTTCTTCTTATCTCTATCCATCTCTTTCTCTCTTTTTCTCCTTCCTCTTTTAAAATTTTCCCTCCCTTCTTTCTATGTCTTCTTCTCTCTCCTTCATTATCTCTTTCCTCCTGTTTCTCTCATTCCCTATCTTTCTTCCTCCCTCACTCTCTCTCTATATATATATATATTTGTTCCTCCCACACTCTATGTCTTTCTTCCTCCCTCCCGCTATCTCCCTCTTCCTCTTGTCACGTCTGAGGTGGCCTGTGAGCCTGGCATCACAGACGTCAGCCGGGAGGCCGCAGAGTAAGCTCGCTTAATACTCCTGTTCCTTTAAGATGAGAGCTGTTACTGTGTACTGCCCTCTGCTTGAGAAGGTTCTCTGGTTCTCTGGTTCTCTGGTTCTCTGGTTCTCTGGCTCTCTGGTTCTCTGGTTCTCTGGCTCTCTGGTTCTCTGCTTCTCTGGTTCTCTGGTTCTCTGGTTCTCTGCTTCTCTGATTCTCTGCTTCTCTGCTTCTCTGCTTCTCTGGTTCTCTGGTTCTCTGGTTCTCTGCCTCTCTGGTTCTCTGGTTCTCTGGTTCTCTGCTTCTCTGATTCTCTGGTTCTCTGCTTCTCTGCTTCTCTGGTTCTCTGGTTCTCTGGTTCTCTGGCTCTCTGGTTCTCTGGTTCTCTGCTTCTCTGGTTCTCTGGTTATGTTGTTCTCTGGTTCTCTGGTTTGGTCCTGGATGTTCTCTCAGTCTTGGGGTGAGAGGGCGGTGGTACGTGGGTAACAACCTGTCTTTTTGGATTTGGTTCATTAAATTGTCCCTTTGTGGGGTCAAACCTAAAGTCAGTCCGTCCGTTGGGTAATTTTGTCCAGTCAGTGAGAAAAATCGTATAATTTTGATTATGTAATAATTTTTCTAGTCCGTTGACGATTAGTTCTGTTAGAACAAGGGGACACAGGTGGAGACTGAGTACCCAAATGAGCCACAGCGACGTTAGAAAGAACTTCTTAAGCATCAGGGTAGTTCACAAATGGAATGCACTAAGCAGTGATGTGGAGGAGGCTGCCTCCATACACAGTTTCAAATGTAGATATAATATAGAGCCCAGTAGGCTCAGAAATCTGTACACCAGTTGATTGACAGTTGAGAGGCGGGACCAAAGAGCCGAGGCTCATTCCCCCCTCAAACCCACAAAAGCACAACTATGTGAGTACTGTCGTGTGAAAAATGGTTCAGAAGTAGTTAGTTTATTTCTCTCTCTACCACAAACGTGGCCACACATTTACAATGCTAACCAGCATATATACATTTTCTTATGTCCTCCATGGACAGGGTGAGAGATGTGTTAAACATATAGTTCAAGGGTTTATTGAACAATCAACCACAGAAGGTGATTCGGTGCTTTTAAAATGCTAAGCTAACCTAGTTAGAGGTGAAAGTTGTTTGGAAGAACGTTAGTGGTCTGTCTGTTGGATGTGATGAGTTGAATATACTCTGGTCTGGCGCCAGGGGTCGAGAGTCAGAGTTCTTTCTGCTGGTGTTGCTGTGGTAATTGTGTTGCTTGACAAGTGTTTATATGACTTTATAAAGTATTTATAAAGTAAATTAAGTGGAAAAATAACCAATATCTGGAGAAGTCTCAGATCACACACCTTTATCTGGGTCTTCACACTATAATTGTGTTCATGTTCTTGAGTTTGTCTGTACGTGTGTCGTGCGCATGTGAGGACTTGTGATGCAGTTAGTGTGATGCAGTCAGTGTGATGCAGTCAGTGTGATGCAGTCAGTGTGATGCAGTCAGGGTGATGCAGTCAGGGTGATGCAGTCAGTGTGATGCAGTTAGTGTGATGCAGTCAGTGTGATGCAGTCAGTGTGATGCAGTCAGGGTGATGCAGTCAGGGTGATGCAGTCAGTGTGATGCAGTTAGTGTGATGCAGTCAGTGTGATGCAGTCAGGGTGATGCAGTCAGGGTGATGCAGTCAGGGTGATGCAGTCAGTGTGATGCAGTTAGTGTGATGCAGTCAGTGTGATGCAGTCAGGGTGATGCAGTCAGGGTGATGCAGTCAGTGTGATGCAGTCAGTGTGATGCAGTCAGGGTGATGCAGTCAGGGTGATGCAGTCAGGGTGATGCAGTTAGTGTGATGCAGTCAGGGTGATGCAGTCAGGGTGATGCAGTCAGTGTGATGCAGTCAGGGTGATGCAGTCAGGGTGATGCAGTCAGGGTGATGCAGTCAGGGTGATGCAGTCAGTGTGATGCAGTCAGTGTGATGCAGTCAGGGTGATGCAGTTAGTGTGATGCAGTCAGGGTGATGCAGTCAGTGTGATGCAGTCAGGGTGATGCAGTCAGTGTGATGCAGTCAGTGTGATGCAGTCAGGGTGATGCAGTCAGTGTGATGCAGTCAGTGTGATGCAGTCAGTGTGATGCAGTCAGTGTGATGCAGTCACGGTGATGCAATCAGGGTGATGCAGTCAGGGTGATACAGTCAGGGTGATACAGTCAGTGTGATGAAGTCAGGGTGATGCAGTCAGGGTGATGCAGTCAGGGTGATGCAGTCAGGGTGATACAGTCAGGGTGATACAGTCAAAGTGATACAGTTAGGGTGATACAGTCAGGGTGATACAGTCAAAGTGATACAGTCAGGGTGATACAGTCAAAGTGATACAGTTAGGGTGATACAGTCAGGGTGATACAGTCAAAGTGATACAGTCAGGGTGATACAGTCAGGGTGATGCAGTCAGGGTGATACAGTCAGGGTGATACAGCCAAAGTGATACAGTCAGGGTGATACAGTCAAAATGATACAGTCAGGGTGATACAGTCAGGGTGATACAGTCAGGGTGATAAAGTCAGGGTGATGCAGTCAGGGTGATACAAAGTGATACAGTCAGGGTGATACAGTCAGGGTGATACAGTCAGGGTGATACAGTCAAAGTGAAACAGTCATGGTGATGCAGTCAGGGTGATACAGTCAAAGTGATACAGTCAGGGTGATACAGTCAGGGTGATACAGTCAAAGTGATACAGTCAGGGTGATACAGTCAAAGTGATACAGAGAGGGTGATACAGTCAGGGTGATACAGTCAGGGTGATACAGTCAAAGTGATACAGTCAGGGTGATACAGTCAAAGTGATACAGTCAGGGTGATACAGTCAGGGTGATACAGTCAGGGTGATACAGTCAAAGTGATACAGTCAGGGTAATACAAAGTGATACAGTCAGGGTGATACAGTCAGGGTGATACAGTCAAAGTGATACAGTCAGGGTGATACAAAGTGATACAGTCAGGGTGATAGAGTCAAAGTGATACAGTCAAAGTGATACAGTCAGGGTGATACAAAGTGATACAGTCAGGGTGATAGAGTCAAAGTGATACAGTCAGGGTGATACAAAGTGATACAGTCAGGGTGATACAGTCAGGGTGATACAGTCAAAGTGATACAGTCAGGGTGGTGCAGTCAGGGTGATACAGTCAAAGTGATACAGTCTGGGTGATACAGTCAAAGTGATACAGTCAGGGTGATACAGTCAGGGTGATACAGTCAAAGTGATACAGTCAGAGTGATACAGTCAAAGTGATACAGTCAGGGTGATACAGTCAGGGTGATACAGTCAAAGTGATACAGTCAGGGTGATACAGTCAAATTGATACAGTCATGGTGATACAGTCAAAGTGATACAGTCAGGGTGATACAGTCAAAGTGATACAGTCAGGGTGATACAGTCAGGGTGATACAGTCAGGTGATACAGTCAGGTGATACAGTCAGTGTGATACAGTCATGGTGATACAGTCAAAGTGATACAGTCAGGGTGATACAGTCAAAGTGATACAGTCAGGGTGATACAGTCAGGGTGATACAGTCAAAGTGATACAGTCAGGGTGATACAGTCAAAGTGATACAGTCATGGTGATACAGTCAGGGTGATACAGGCAGGGTGATACAATCAAAGTGATACAGTCAGGGTGATGCAGTCAAAGTGATACTGTCAGGGTGATACAAAGTGATACAGTCAGGGTGATACAGTCAAAGTGATACAGTCAGGGTGATACAAAGTGATACAGTCAGGGTGATACAGTCAGGGTGATACAGTCAGGGTGATACAGTCAAAGTGATACAGTCTGGGTGATACAGTCAAAGTGATACAGTCAGGTGATACAGTCAAAGTGATACAGTCATGGTGATACAGTCATGGTGATACAGTCAGGGTGATACAGTCAGGGTGATACAGTCAAAGTGATACAGTCAGGGTGATACAGTCAGGGTGATACAGTCAGGGTGATACAGTCAAAGTGATACAGTCAGGGTGATACAGTCAGGGTGATACAGTCAAAGTGATACAGTCAGGTGATACAGTCAAAGTGATACAGTCAGGGTGATACAGTCAGGGTGATACAGTCAAAGTGATACAGTCAGGGTGATACAGTCAAAGTGATACAGTCATGGTGATACAGTCAGGGTGATACAGGCAGGGTGATACAGGCAGGGTGATACAGTCAAAGTGATACAGTCAGGTGATACAGTCAAAGTGATACAGTCAGGTGATACAGTCAAAGTGATACAGTCAGGGTGATACAGTCAGGGTGATACAGTCAGGGTGATGAAGGCGCTGGTATTGGCTAACCTCGCCTAAGAAGGCACTATATAAACACACAAAATATCTCAGGCCAAGATGGCGGCCAGCACGCAACCTCCACCTCTGAAGGATCCGTTCAACGCCCATGTCCTGGTAATTCCCATTAAGTCAGCCAACCACTCGGGCTGGACAATAGAGCGACGGCCTCGCTACACAGGTCGGCGTTCAATTCCCGACAGTACAAGTGATCGGACAACACTCCTTTCCTCCGTCCCATTCCAAATACTTATCCTAGTTTGCTACATTTCTTCCAATTACAATTTGCGACATAGTCGTAATGGCTTGTCGCTTTCCCCATGATAGTTCCCTTCATGTTACGTCCTGAGACAAACATATTCTCTCACGGGCTTTTGCTGTATAATTGCCCGAGGATCACGCTAGCAAAACAAGCAGAGAGGATAGATAGCAGGGAAAAAAGAAGACTTTTGTAGTAAATGTTGGAAGTAAATAGCGATGGTTTTCTGTGCGTGTTGTCCATCGGCTCTTGTAGAGACGTCTCCTGCAGGATGGTTCTCCTCCCTCAGCATCCTGCAGGATGGTTCTCCTCCCTCAGCATCCTGCAGGAGGGTTCTCCACCTCAGCATCCTGCAGGATGGTTCACCTCCCTCAGCATCCTGCAGGAGGGTTCTCCTCCCTCAGCATCCTGCACGAGGGTTCTCCCTCAGCATCCTGCAGGATGGTTCTCCTCCCTCAGCATCCTGCAGGATGGTTCTCCTCCTTCAGCATCCTGCAGGATGGTTCTCCTCCCTCAGCATCCTGCAGGAGGGTTCTCCTCCCTCAGCATCCTGCAGGATGGTTCTCCTCCCTCAGCATCCTGCAGGATGGTTCACCTCCCTCAGCATCCTGCAGGAGGGTTCTCCTCCCTCAGCATCCTGCACGAGGGTTCTCCCTCAGCATCCTGCAGGATGGTTCTCCTCCCTCAGCATCCTGCAGGATGGTTCTCCTCCCTCAGCATCCTGCAGGATGGTTCTCCTCCCTCAGCATCCTGCAGGTTGGTTCTCCTCCCTCAGCATCCTGCAGGATGGTTCTCCTCCCTCAGCATCCTGCAGGAGGGTTCTCCACCCTCAGCATCCTGCAGGAGGGTTCTCCTCCCTCAGCATCCTGCAGGAGGGTTCTCCTCCCTCAGCATCCTGCAGGATGGTTCTCCTCCCTCAGCATCCTGCAGGATGGTTCTC